CCCCAAAACCCCAAAACCCCAAAACCCCAAAACCCCTAAATAGCATTATGGTATTGGAATACGAATAAACCTGCTTTAATAAATATGAATTGTACTACTATTGCATTTAAAAAATACTAGAGAGGACATCTATGAGCTTATAAGGCTTATCAGGCTTATCAGGCAGTAGCAGGTCAAATTAGTCAGTTTTAAGCTCTCTATAACAAACAGAGCCTAAAATGTTTGAACTTTGCTATATATCCTCAAGCTGATAGAGTCTCAAAGAGGAAAAATCCAAATTGGCATGAGTAAAGATTACTTTTTCTTTGACATATAACTGTTAATTGTAACCTAGTCAAAATAAGTGGAATAGAACTATTTTCCCTCTTTAGGCAATAATTATTAATTTTTTCCATCAGGACAAATTTCCAGATTTCTTATTTAGCCCAGATTATTGATTCCTACAATATTTGCAGATAGCAAGGCTAAGGATGAAAGCTCAAGATTATTGGCTTAAAAATTATATTTCAAGCTTAATCAGAGCCCTGGAGGTTAAAACTAGAACCATTTTTGGGTCGTATTGAAAGAGAATTTAAGCCTACTCAAATCTATGTACGAGTTATTGCCAGCAAGTAAGAGGGTAAACTAGACGATAAAGACCTTAAAGGGAGTGAAGAATAAAGCTGGAGGCAAATTTAAGATGACACAAGTTAAGAAGAATCTAAAGCTTTCTCAGAGTTTTAAAATATTTTGAAAGAGGCTTAATTAGTTTTTATGCTTTAAGAGTAGGGTATAATACAAAAAGTCGTCTACAATATTATCAATAACTCTGTTAGCTAAACTTCTTCTTGAAAGACCATCTGCTGCTCTCAAAACCATCTGTGACCTTCACTATTAATAAAAAAATACAGAAAGTTATTTAAATACTCAGTGCTTGTCCAGTCTGAAAAGGAAAGTAACGACTAGCCTTGTAGAAGCCACTATTTTTGTCGAGAAAGCCTCTGGAAGCTACTTCTAAAGCCAAACCGCCATAATTTAGGAAGACAGTGAGGAGAAACTCGTATAATAATTTACAGAGATCCATGACTCGCTGCTAATATGTTAGAAATTTAAAACAACAGTAATACTATCAATGAGTTATATGGATGAAAGAAGAGGAAAACGAGTGTTGGGACTCTATAGGTACTTCATGACATCATATAAACTGAATAGTACTCTTATCTTGAATTAGATAATTTCCTAAAAAATAGTGGAACTATCAATTTTCTTAACAATATGATCGCGGTGGAAATCTAATTTAATAATTCCCAAAGGCAAATTATTGAAAATTTCTAAGATTCTTAAGAATTAGAGGAGATTCAAGAAGCATGACTAGACTCAAGGCTTGTCATCCTTAAAAAGTTCAGACTCTTAACCCTTCAGCTGATAAACCTTCCTAGGCTCCCAGAAAATAACTTTGAGAAGAGAATATAATGACATCAAATTGGATTTCAGTAACAATTAGAGTGTTAAATTTTTAAGAATAGGCTCTTGTCAATATTCTTCAATTAGTTTATGGTCCCAAAACTTCATCTCTTAGAACGCTGATTCTAGGATCTTCTGACTTCTGAGTGATATAGTTACACAAGATGATCAAGCTTTCGGAGTTGAGTGCCTTTTCAAACTTCTTGCGAGAGAATGCATAAGTTCACTCCTGAAAAGCAGCGATTTCCTTTTGAATTCCTCTTTTACATGGAATCTTGGGTAGACTTCTAATGCCAGTGATTCCAATTGTATAGTAAACCAGGTCTTGAGTCAGGGATTCTTCAGGAATGAAGGAGTTCAAAGTTGCTTCCATTCTTAAATAAATATCTTTCACAGCCAATGCTCTGTGTACCTTCTCGTTTATATCAAAGGTGTGGCTCTTGTAAGTATTTTTATAATACCTTTTTAACAGTCTTAAAGCTGACTTATAAGCCACATCTCTGCGATTTCTCCATGAGCTAATGGGAGGAGAGGATGAGATATCAGATTTAGCAGTTACAGATTTTCTTTTAAATATGGGAAGACTTTTAGCCTTATCCACCACTCTAGTAACCTCAAAAACTTTTTCAAATTGCTCTGAGGCTTTGTCCTGCAGAATTGGGGAGTTTACTGTGTAGATGGCTTGACTCCTCTCTGATTCATCATCAAGAGAAACTTTCTGTGGATCATTTGCAGGTCTGATAGCAGAAGTTTTATTCTTTATTTTATCAAGTCCTAACAAGAAGTCCTAAAAGTTGATGAGAATAAAATTTTGAGCAATAGAAAAAGATTATTATTGCTAAATATGGCCAACTGAAAGATTAGAGAGGTTAAGATAATTTCTTTATAATTCTGAAGGCATAGGGATACATATAATGTTACCAATAGGCCAGATTCTATCTTCTCAAAAATGTATGAATTCTCTGAGAGTAGGGAAATATTATTTTAAAAGGAATCATTAAACCATAATAAGCAACTTACTCGATCAAGGCTCTTATCCCCCAAGCTTGCAAAGATATTATTATCGATATGGGATGACAAAAGTTTAATTAACTATTTTTTTAATCTTACAAATTAATAATATAATATTTCATGATGAAGCTTTAGCTGTTAAAACAAACCGAGCAGCAAATATTCTAACAACTCAGGTTTCAAATTCAGACTAAATATAAAAATTATAAAATATTAATTTCTTAATTTCACTATTCACTAAATAGAACCAAAAAGAGTGATGATAAAAATAAATCAGAAACTTTAAACAATTTATTTATTCTTACATACACAGAGCACAAATTTTAATTGTATCAAAATCATTTTCCTCCTCGTCCTCTTCACCTCCAATTCTACCTTACCACTAACATAATATTTTGAAAGTTATTACGTGGAGGAATTTTTAACTAGCTTATTTCAGATAAATTTTAAGTATGATTTTCAGATTTGTTGATAAATAATGGATTTAATAGTTCAGGCTTCTTATTGGGACATTAAGATCTTAAACTCTAAATTATAGAGAAAAATTGTAGTTTAAGTCGGTCCCCACAAAATCTGGATATAAGTAACTAGAGATATTAGGAAAAGTTTTGGGATGGCTTACTTCTTGCACTGGTCAATTCTGTTAAGATCTTGGATCTCAGTCAGGACGTTCACGGTTGGCTGGATCATTATTGTGATTAACTAATTTTCTATTTTATATACCATTGCGGGGTTTTGGGGTTTTGGGGTTTTGGGGTTTTGGGG